ATACAGCCGGGGTCCAGTAGGTCAGTGGTGTGATAGAGGCGGGCGGGCTCTGACCGTTCCCACCGTACACGCTAATGTTTACGTTCTGAGCGGGTCCGCACGTCTGTCTGTCTGTCTGTCTGTCTGTCACTGAGTCTGCAGCCACAAACTCCCCAGCTAGATAGCTAGTTAGCCAACCGTAATGCTTCTGCTACTTACTTAACAACACTTAATCAACTTAGCCTCTACTTCTGCTAGCAGTCTGCACTTTGTTATGTAGCGTCACATATTCAATGCCGTAACAGTACATGAACACCGCATTCTCCTTTAAACCCAACAGCCAATAACTTAGCAATGGCTAGCATTAAACTCGGAACAGTTAGCAGATAGCGCTAGCTGGCTAACAAACATGATACATGTAATGAATAGTTGAGCGAGGCACCGACTGGCCAATAGAGCAAACTGTGACTCATGTGTAGAGAGCTGTGATCTGCCGGAGCCCGCTGATATGTCCATGCAGTGACTTTCCTCCCCTTACCTTGTTTTGCTTTTGCTAGCGAAAAGTAAGCTCCACGGCTAGCACTAGCTGGGCCTGGCGCTAGCTAACGTTAGCCAAGTTGACGAGGTCAAAAATGCCGACTTCGCTTGCATAAACAAGTGTTTGCAAGTCCTTTGTCCCTCGAAAATCACTTTGCGGACACCTGTCGACGGCCCGTGGTTGAACGAACGGGCTGGAGGCGGATAAAGGCCCTGAAGTAGTGTTTGGATTGCTGCTCGTTGGTGGCTATCCTGTAGCTTTCCGGCGCGCCGCCTCTTCGCTACGACGGAGCCAGCACAGACCGCCGTGACGTCACCAGGACAAACCCCATCAACAGTGAGCTCCCTCGTATGTCCTGTCTGCAACATGGAAGCCTGTAACTCCCCCCTGCATTAAAACAACATCATCATCATCATAATAATAATAATAATAATAATAATAATAGAGATATACTATGATTTCATTCTGTAATTACAGAAACCCACCCAGTTGTCCATCTGGACCATATTCCACTTTATTGTATAAGGGGTATATATTTTTTAGTTTTTATGATATCTTATTTTATATATATTGTATTTTATTCTTTCTCTACTCTTGCACTACATTCTCCTGTACTGCTAATTTGAATTCCCCCTACAAGGGATCAATAAAGGAACATCTTATCAACAACAAGTAAACCAGTTGATTCATTAATCAAATGATTGTTAAGGCACGTATAAGATTATTCATTTATGATTACTTATTAAAGGCAGGGGCAGATCCAGATGTTGTAAACAAAGTAGGCCCCCGCATTTCCCAAACTAAGGTCTCCCATGCTCCCATTTACAGAAAAAAGATGATGGTTGCCCAGGAAAAACATCATCCTGCACAGCATACATCACTTTTGTATCTAACTGTCTTCATCATTCTGAAACCAGAACACATGTTGAAGATTGTCACTCCTGCCACCTAAAAAGAGGCCAAAAATTGTTTGATGTTTTTATTTTTATGTTACATGACATAGGTAAGGTAGCTATTTGGTGTAAACAGCATTACTAAACCTATTTCTAATAAACCATGCTGGAGTAGAGTTCACAGAATGAATTGGAGCCTGATCGATATATCACAGACGTATCAGTATCAATACATATAGGCATATATGTTACCTTATATGTGCCCTTATGAAAATATGTTTATGGTATATAATGCAGAAAAGAATGTTTGTGGTAATATATTAGTGTCACTGCAGAGTTTAGCAGAGTGTGCTGTGTTTGACAATAATGTTATATAAAGTTATTTGTACCTTTGAGTAGTCATATAGGTGCAAATTACTCATAGAAAAGGTCTATTTTTATTCCAGCTCAAACATTCACTTTATCAGCTGCCTTATCTGAGGTGAATTTTCCCCTCTAAAACTGATATCAGTCTCAAAAATCCCAAGATTAAATGTTTAACTGACAGATGTAATAAATGGTGATATTTCTCCAGTAATAGAAAAATGAGTAAAGAGACGTGAAATGACACAAAGCCTGTCTTAAACATGAACACAAAATACTCAGTCTTTGCTTGCACTTAATTTATTTAAGTTTATTATTTTCAGAACATAAGAAATTAGTCTGTTGTCAATATTAGTTATGGTTGCAGAACCTTTTTTCTTTAAGAAGAAGATTTATGTTTTTATTTTTGCAAAACTAAGTCAGATTAAGATTTCACATGATGGTGTGCTGATTTTTACGGAAGCCCTAAAGGGCCATGCATTCATTCATTTTATGTTCTCCGTTTTTCCATGATAACGAGTTAATTTTCTCGAGATCTCGAGAAAACGAAACTTTGTTTACCCGAGATAACAATATAATTAATTCTTGATCTCGAGATAATGACTGTGATATGATAACTGCGGTCAAGCCAGCCGTTACTCTGATCTCCGTAGTTAAATCAATCAAAAAAAATTAATTATATCGTTATCTCGGGAAAACAAAGTTTCGCTATCTCGAGAAAATTAACTCGTTATGACGGGAAAACGGAGGAAATAAAATGTATGAATGCACGGCCCTTTAGGGCTTCCGTAGATTTTGATGCATGGCTACAGATTAAATTACCCAACAGTATCTAAAATAGTAGCCACATCAACAACATTAAAATGCTACTTACACATTAAAGCTTGAGTAATAATTCAATAATACAATATATACTTTTTCAGTGCAGGACTATTGCTACTTTAAGGACCTGAATACTTCCTCCACCGCTGCAGGACAGAGACATTTCTGTCGAGTCATTTTTCATCATTTTAAACGGGACAAACTAGATTCCATTAAACTCTGCTGTACTGGGTGGAAACAAATGTTTCAGTGGCAAATTCCTTAAAGCAAGTCTATGTGACAAACAGTGGGTAAACAGTGACAACTGTGTTCAGAAGTGAAATTAAGAGATTACGGTTAATGCTAAAACAAGAAGATGAGCATTAAAGACCCTGAAAAGTTGGCTGTAAGTCTGTTTTTCTTTGACATTAAATATTCATAATCAAGTAAGCAACATCAAAGTAAAAAAAAAAAACATCTTTGGCTATTAATCATTAGAAGTTTTACATTTAAAAACTCTAATTTTCTTCATCAGACCTGGGCGGATGTGGGTTTAACAGATGTTATACAGTAAACCACCAACTGTTCTCATTCTGATTCAAATGATGCTAAAGCGTGATTGGTGCACAATCTTTTTTTTCAAAGCAAGTCCCACCCACTTAAAACCAGTGAGCAACCAAACCTGTTAATGTGTTCATGTAAGATCTCATCACTCAGAGGCTGCTTGAAAAAATTGAAAGACATTTAAGTACGTGAACTATATCAATTAATATCAATTACAAATCTGTTTATGTCTTCTTACATTAGATAGCATTAGCCACCATGAGCTACTGGTGGCAGCATAACCCCCAATTTGAACTGAGCAAGGCTATATTGTATTGCCTATCTACTTTTGATTTATGAGATGGAAACTGATGTTGGCTCTTTGTCACACGTTGGACACTGACTTATGCAGGGGTGGCATGAAGTATGTGTCTCAGCTTTCCAGTTATTGTCAGTTTATGCAATTCCAACTCTGTTTATGGACCCCAGTCCACCTGTGTATACCACCTGCCCACTTTATGCTATGTGGGTACCCATAGAAAACCATTTTCATTAAAAAGTCAGAGGTCAAGGGATGCCTTTTAAAATAGCTATGCCAGTTTTTCCATCAGCAAAATTTTGCCTAGCTTTGGCCCATTATTTAGCCTCTAGGTCACATGACATGATTGGTACTAATGGATGCATTAGGTTATCCAGTTTCATTATTACCAGTATCTTCACTTTAACTTTAACAAAGTCCGCTACAGCCTCTGAAAGACAGTGGTTGTGGAAGAGGGAAGGATAATGGAGTTGACCTTTGGGATGGCCAATCAGATTTCAGGGGTGGCCAGCGACATCCCAAGCCCCCCCATCTGGATACACCCCTGCCTTAATAATACCTTAAGGAAATGGAAACAGTAGCAAAAAAAAATTTTTAAGTCATCAAGAGCTTTATTTCTAGCAAGGTTTTTTGTTGTTGTTAATTTACAGTGTTAGGTCAGATTATTTTTGTAACATAATTCATTGGATTACAAAAAAGTATAACAGGAATACTTTTGGAATACTTCAAAGTCAAACCTTGAAAATATTGTACTTTATACCACAAAATAGAGTGAGAGAGAGTTCCACAAACCTTCTTAACACATTGTCAGTGCATTTTATTTTTATTTTTTAATATTCAGCATTTACAGTTCAAATCAAATAACACACAATGTCCTCTGTGATTATTTATCCAGTTTTCTGTGTTGAAAATCATTCTTATGGTAAGCTGTCAAAACCGTGATACCTTGGGTTGAGTCTGTTAACCAATCAGAAGCTATGTGGTCATGTGTATGCCACAATGGAAGATTGATCCCATTTCCCTATCAAGATATACAGAGCCCAGAGTTTTAAGAGAGCATTGGATATCATGAAAAGCAGTTTCATTTTTAAAATTGCTCATATTTTAAAATGTAATCAAAAATTCAATCAAGTAATCCTTTCAATGTAGCTATAATCTAATTACAGTGTCTCTCTCACCCCAACTGGTCGAGGCAGACGACCACCCACTTAGAGCGCAGGGTCTGCTCGAAGTTTCTGCCTCTTAAAAAGGACGTTTTTCCTTGCTGCTTTCGCCAAGTGCTTGCTCATGGTGGGACCGGTTGAGTCTCTGAATAATTTCATATGGAGTACGGTCTAGACCTACTCTATTTGAAAAGTGTCCTGGGATAACATAACACATACCAATAAAACTGATTTGAACAGATTTTTTTCCAAACGTAATCTGGGCTGATTATGGTTGATTATTTTTTGTAATCTGATTACGTAATCCCAATTACATGCAATCAGTTACTACCCAACATCATTTACACCGTTAAGTGAAAGTGTTTTGGGAAAAATTGGTTGAAAAAAAAATGACAGACAAATGATTTTTGATCCCTCTTTATTTTTCATGAAACATGAAAAACAGTAATGAGTGACAGCCAGTTTCTGCCCTCTGCCAGGTCAAAGGCATTCACTTACATCCTATTACAGAAACCACGGACAGACACTGAAAGTAATTTCCATTTTTAAAATACAAACTAAACACTAAGTCCAATTCTTCCCTCTATTTCAAAATACCGTATTATGCCAAGCTAACTAATTCAGCAGTAGAAGTAAAGAGGGAATCGAGGAAGACAGAACTATAACAGAGCAGTCGAAGCATTTCACACCAAAGACTTTTCTTCAGACATACTGCAACGCTTCCCAAACACACGTACTTCATGTCACACCATCACATCCGTATCAGGACCATTCGTACTTGCTGCAAGCCTTTAAATTACACATCCACACTGCAGGACTGACTGCTAGAACAAAATAAGGACAGCTCTTTGAAAAAAGGACAGAAAGAAAGAAAGAGTGAAAGAACATGATGCTGCTTATGTATTCCCCCTAACTCACTTACAACTTCTCCTCACAGAACCATGGCACTGAGCTACACTTAAATGTACATTTTTTAAATATAAAGTACACTCGCCATCAGGTTAGTATCCCTTACCAAGTTTCCTTCTGTACCTATGACTAATCAGATGGCGATAAAGGATGCAAGAAGAACTGTGCACTGGAGGTTCCAACTTAATATCAAGATGTCCCTAGTTTTTTGTACATTCACTTTATATTCATTAGATCGCCTGCAAAATATAAGGAGGAATATGTTTCAATTCTTAATATAGAGGGGTGTGGCCAGAAGTGAAACATGCTTTACAGTTTTGACCCCATGAGAGCAGTGCAGCAGCAGTTATTTCACTATTAAATGACCCTTTAAGGAATAAAAAATATAAAGGGAAATTAATAAATGCCTTCAGTTTTACAGGATAAGTTGGTTATTGAAGTTAGTGGCTTAGCTGTTGGCTTAGGAAGTGTAACACTGATAGTATCAAGAAGAGGTCTGTAGTGTAATTTTAAAGACTGAAAACACAAGGAAAACTGAGGTAGCAAAATAGCTACTGTACATGAGCACATGAGTAAAGAGTGTTTCTTCATAAAAAAAAAGACACAGCAAGTGCTTTCCAGATGTTCCATTTTCACACCGAGGCTGGGCACTGTAAAGAATGCTGGTGACTAAGAGATAACACTGTAGGTTCACATCACAAGTGGCTGGGCAGTGATTGGGTTAACAGGATGTGGTACTGAGGTATTCCACTGGAGTGATTTTTGAAGCAGTAAACACTATAAGGAAAAAAAGTGGACTGAATGGCTCAGTTTTGTCCACACAGCAGTAAACAGGTTGCGTTTCACAGAAGTTACAAGAACAGTTATTGAAGATAAACCAGAGTTCTGTTCTACTGACCGGGCTCATTGGGGACATGCAAGTCAGAATGGAGTGTCACTTTGTTGACAAGATGGTTCCATAAAGCAGGTGTTGATCTGAACACTGTATATCATGTTTATCTTTACATTGGAACTACATACTAGTCCCTTGTGTTTTGAGGGGTAAAAGGAGGAAGGGAAAGTGTAGGAAAAAGGCACATCCTCTTCATCTGCAGGACAGAAAGTCATCATTCGGGAGTAGTTTACTGTGGTGGAGGACAGAGAAGCAAAAGTCAATAGTGGTATATATTGTGTGTGTCTGTATGAATACATTTACATATCCCTAGAGTGTATTTAAAACTTAAGTTTAGGAATGTAGACATGATGGCTACAGCCTACTCTACTATGGAATAAATAGTCAAAGGCTCAATACCTTAGCTGGAATTACTGCATTTGCATCCTAAGAAGACGCCGTTTACCCTGAATAGCAGAGTTTAAAATCCATGTTAGAGTGATTTTTGTCCAAGCCCACACTGATTAAGACAAGCTGCAGTGAAAAGTTTATACATATACTTAAGTATCCTGATTATAAAAACTGGTCTCTTCAAGTCTTTGTCAAAATACTGTTTCAGTCTACAACCAAGGCTGGGAAATATGAGAAATGTACTCTTGCCAAGTATATACTGATAAACTTCATGGAATCTTTGATCACCCTGAGATCAGTCTAAAAACATAGTAACATCTAGTACCTCAGAAGCAGTGGCATCGCCATCGTCTGGAGCTGCGATGATCCTACCAGCCATGGGCCCCACTCCCAGCACCATGGGCCGTTTTTCCGCTTTAGGTGTTCCTTCCAGAACCACAACAATGTACTCTCTTTTGGGAGCTTCTGCTGGGGTCTCTGGAGGGGCTACAACCAATTCTTCCACTACAGGGATGGCTATTCCTGCAGCGGGGGCTGCTGCAATTTCTTCCACAACTATGGTAGTGACTGGTTCTTCAACTAGAGCTGTGGAAACATCAGGTTCTATTAATGCAGGGACTTCTTCAGCAACAGGTGCAGCCTCTACTGATGCCAGGGCTTCCTCGGCAACCGATGCGGGGGCTTCCTCGGCAACCGGTTCAGCCTCGGCAACCGGTTCAGCCTCTACAGGTGCGGGGGCTTCCTCAGCAACCGGTGCAGCCTCTGCAACTGGTGCGGGGGCTTCCTCGGCAACCGGTGCAGGGGCTTCCTCGGCAACCGGTGCAGCCTCTACTGGTGCGGGGACTTCCTCGGCAACCGGTGCGGGGCCTCTACTGGTGCGGGGTCTGCCTCGGCAACCGGTGCAGCCTCTACAGGTGCGGGGGCTTCCTCAGCAACCGGTGCAGCCTCCTCGGCAACCGGTGCAGCCTCTACTGGTGCGGGGGCTTCCTCGGCAACCGGTGCAGCCTCTACTGGTGCGGGGGCTTCCTCGGCAACCGGTGCAGCCTCCTCGACAACCGGTGCAGCCTCTACTGGTGCGGGGGGCTTCCTCGGCAACCGGTGCAGCCTCACTCGGCAGCGGGGGCTTCCTCGGCAACCGGTGCGGGGGCTTCCTCGGCAACCGGTGCGGGGGCTTCCTCGGCAACCGGTGCGGCGGCTTCCTCGGCAACCGGTGCGGCGGCTTCCTCGGCAACCGGTGCGGCGGCTTCCTCGGCAACCGGTGCGGCGGCTTCCTCGGCAACCGGTGCTGCCGCTTCCTCGGCAACCGGTGCAGCCTCTACTGGTGCCGGGCTTCCTCGGCAACCGGTGCTGCGCGCTTCCTCGGCAACCGGTGCTGCCTCTACTGGTGCCGGGGCTTCCTCGGCAACCGGTGCAGCCTCTACTGGTGCCGGGGCTTCCTCGGCAACCGGTGCGGCGGCTTCCTCGGCAACCGGTGCTGCCTCTACTGGTGCCGGGGCTTCCTCGGCAACCGGTGCAGCCTGTGCGGGGGGCTTCCTCGGCAACCGGTGCAGCCTCTACTGGTGCCGGGGCTTCCTCGGCAACCGGTGCAGGCCTCTGCAACTGGTGCGGGGGCTTCCTCGGCAACCGGTGCGGGGGTCTCTTCTACTGGTGCAACCTCAACTGGTTCAATTTCTTCAACGGGCTTTGTCTGTACTGGTACCAGGGACTCTTCAACAGTGGGTGCCAACTCTTCCTTTACGTCAGCTATCTTCGGTACCTCTAGAGTAGAGGCAGCTGCCAGCAGCACTGCAACACAAAATCCAGCCACCCAAACATCACTGTTGCTGAAGTTATAGTTTCCCACATTTAGCTTATGCAACTTGAAGTACTTAGCCAAAAGTGATTTTTGGGGCATTTGTGAGGATTTAGCGCCAGCAAATCTGGTGGCTTGTGACTACATGCAGATGCAAGATCAACACCCAGTAGTGGAAGAAGAAATACAACGGGCGTTACAGGAAAGCTGTGTTAGTCAGCTGGAGTATCGATGCAGTGCTACGAATCAACAAAGTTTTATATAAAAAGAGGAAATACACAGCTTCCCACAGAAATTCAACAAAGGCAAAAGCAAAACAGCATACGTATTCAATAATGGGCAGTTTTGGTGAGGTTTGGATTCACTGCTTTACTCTCCAAGAAATAAGTAAATCTGTCTGATAGTGGATTTTTTTTTTAATAAAGATATCTTAAATTTGATTATTAAAAATGTGATGTGAAACAGGATATACTGGTTTGAACATTTTATACTTGAAAAATTACTCTTCATTCCTCTCTGGTGGAATAAAATATAAATCCTCACTCCAGAGACTGGGGATTTTTAACAATACATATGGAAAATACTCTAGCTATATCACGCAAATATACCCATTAAAAGCATATCACCAAAGCAGAGTTTAATGCAGAAAGCAGTGAGGAAATACTGTGGAGAGCTTGATTAAAATACTCACTTAATAAATAAAAGAAGCATGCTTGTCTATAAGTTCACTTAAGACTTAAAAATACATTCAATATGAGGTGTCAATTTTTATCATTTACAGAAGATGGATTCGTACATTTGTGTAGGAACAAAGAGGCTAAAAATGTAATTGTTAAACTGGAATTGAATTATTTAAAAAAAAAAAAGGCATACTACGCAGGATTTGTCCTGTTTCTGTTGGTAAACGCGGCATTAAAAGTTGGCCCCTCCTCCCCAGCTCGAGGGGGGGCCACAGAGAGCACCTTTGGTTGAGCTACATAGAGAATAAATGAGAAGAGTGAGTGACGTTAGTAGCAGTTAGCAGTAGAAATAAAACAGCAGTTTCACAGGGATTACGTTCTAAATCACAAATAAATACGGCCACTCCTCTGCACAACCCTGCAGGAAGGTGCCATATATATATTTCCATTGTGTGTGAATGCAGCTAGACACTGACACGCAGACTTGCAGTTTGTTATGCATCCATTGCACAGACAGGTACCAGAGGAGAGAGATAGATGGACTACCTGGTCGCTCTGTGTTTATAGAACCCCTATCTCACACCCAAAGGTGGACGCCCAGAAACATCCTGCATACAGTAAAATAAGAAAATACAGGCAAGGGCTGCAGGGTCTCTGCAGATATAGACACTTCTAGTGGGTGATGATTGTGAAAGATTGTTTGTTTGAGTCTATACGTTGTTTTTTGGTTTTGTTTTAAAAGGAAAATCCTGCAAGTATGCCTTTAAAAGCTCTAACAGAAATGACCTTAAAACAGACCAATTCAGACAAATTAAAGACGGCAGTAAATCTGTCCGGTTTGATAAAAGCTTTATTGTATGGCTCGATTAATTACCGTAAACTGTTCACAGTGCTCATTATCCAGTTATAAGCAAAATATATATGATCACATATGATTTGAGTCACTCTGCAACCTAATTATTTCTTTGACAGTTTCACATTACATTTAAGGAAAATAGCACACTGCAGCAGTTACAGAGTTTTTACACATCTCATCTTGCTGTAGGGTATACACAACTGTACGACAGTCTGAGGAGAAATAGGCTTCTACCTGCTCTGTGATGACTGGCAAAGTATTACAACATTACAGAGGTTTAAATCAAACAAATACAGTGTCTTGTCAAATCTCATTATATAACATTAGGGGCTTCATGACAAAAAGATACCATTGATAAAGCATTTGAGGGCTGTTGCTTGTTCTCTTGCCACGTCTATTTACTTGCATGTGAATGGTTGAACCGGATTCTAAGGCTTGTGGAATTTCTTACAGGGAGGAGCTTTTAAGTACCGTTAACTGAGCCGAATCAGGGCCAATCTACATGAGTGGTGTTTGTATTGAGAGTGATCACATTTATTTCACCCATAACTGCAAATGAGTGTCACATAAAGACCTCACTGCCACTTTGGAAATGTCTCACTGTGGTGTGCAGCTGTAAATCAAGAGGAACCTGAGGAGGAAATGGCCTTGCTGGTTTTTAACATCTCCAGGCCTCATAATAATCTGAACGAATATAGACATCATACACGGTGATCTAGGCTGCACACAGGAAAAATCTCATGTCATCCTTTGCTTGAACAAACGCTTAATTTGCACAAAGTGCTCCCATTTATACCCACTCCAATAAATACAAGAGAAAATATACAGTTTTAGGAAGACAAGAGAGACTGATGAATATAGGTGAACCCAGGCACCTGAGGAGAAGCAGCTAACCTCTAGTGGTTCTAGACGGTGACTATAAGTTACCAGTTGTATTGTTCCCAGTGTTGTGATGGAGGAGGAAGACCTGCTGTCAGCGGCTCTTTAATTAAAGTGGTTGAAAAAGCCCAGTGTGTGTCTGTTGGTGTATGTGTCTCCCTGTAGTGAATGTGTGGAACCTCAGGCCTCAGAGGCCTCCTCCTCAGATGAAGAAGTCGTACCGTTGCTTTCAGGCTCCTCTGCAGCGACAGCGGCTGGTTCCGCGACAGCCTCAGCAGCCTCCTCAACAGCTTCAGCCACTTGGGCCACTTCTTCTGCGACTGCCTCCACTTCCTGTGCAGCCTCGGCAACCACCTCCGCTGCCTCGGCAACCACCTCAGCGGCCTCTGCGACCACCTCGGCGACTGCCTCCACTACAGTCTCTGCCTCGCCATCAGCAGCAGCAGCGGGATCCTCTTCTGCAACCTCGGCCTCTCCACCGTCCTCCTCAGCTGCCGCAGCCTCATCCTCCTCCTCTCCACCTGGAACACAAGAATTAGAGGAAGAGTATTAACCTGAACTGGTTTGATTCAACACATTGTTGTCCACTACAGTGAGCAGCCTTTTCACTCTACGACCCCCCCCCACCCCACCCACTATTTATGACTGGTGCAGCCACTGTGTGTTTTCTACAGACACATGCAGTTTGAAACGCTGCAGGTAAGATGATAATTACTCTTCTCAAATGTGACATATTTTGATTAATACTTTAAAAGCAGCATTATGAAAGAGCATTAATATATTATCAGTGGCTGGGTTTCCATCCAAATGGTTTGTAAGACAACTTTTTTTTGAATGCACACTATGCTCACAATATATTAGGGCTGTCACTTTTTATTGGAAACTAGAAAAAGGGGCAGCTGTGGCTCAGAGGCAGAGCGGTTTGTCCACTAATTGGAAATGAATTGCTCCTGATGCTGTGCATCGGTGTGTGAATGTGTATGAATGAGTTAGTTTCTGTTCGATGGACTTTACCATCACTGAGTGAATGTGTGTGAAAGGGTGAATGTGGCACGTAGTGTAAAAGCGCTTTGAGTGGTCGGAAGACTAGAAAGGTGCTATACAAGTACAGGCCCATTTACCATTCATGAACATTACAAGGTGGAAAGAAAATTACTATTTTTATCTGGAAATAATCTTACTGAATAACTGAAACTGAATTCTAAATTCCCACACAGTGGTTAACGGGGCCAGCTCGATAAGTCTGTCATGGACTTTCCCCACTGGTTGCTGCTTGTTCATAATGAGTAGACGCGAATATTAGTTACTCCAAATTCTCCGAGTATAGGCGCAGCCCTCTCAGGCCTATCAGTGGGTTCATCCCTCACTCATGCAGCACAGAAGACTTTTAGTCTACATCCAATTACTATGTGGGCCCCATCTTGGTCTGACCTTGTGTATAAAGTGAGCTGAGACAGGACAATCTGACAGCTTTTTCTTCAGCTAATTAAATGAACCAGTGGGGCCCACAGGTTAGAGAATCTGGAGTTACAATAGGTCATTATATTCTGTTTCGTACAGGCTTCGCCCTGTGAGGCTAATGCCCCACTGGGTCTGTCCAGTACCCAACAAGCACAGCCACTTTGCCTGTCCTGGGTCTCTGTGGTTATATGATATTCATTACAATATCTTACACCATCGTTTCAGTCTCTGATTTCCTTGGGAAGTCCGTCTCAAAGATGGACAGTTGGATGGAAACCTAGCTACTAACAGCTAGATTCTCTAGCAGCTTGATCCAGAAGTACTACTTCTAGACAAGCCACTCCAAACCTTACCGCTGCCTCACTTAATATGTCATCTGAAAAAACCCAGAGGCAGCACCATGACTACACAAACTGCATGCAAACTCAAAGACAGGGAGGAACACGACAAAGACGAGAGGGAGGGGAGGGTAGGGGAAAGGGCAGGGGAAGGAGAGGGAGAGGAGTGTGGGTTACGGTGCAAGGTAGAGGGGGTGAAGATGAATCTCGGTTCTTACCATCCAATTAACAAGCAATCAGTTATCTGGAACTCTGACAGTGAGTCCGACAGTGACACAGACACCGAGACAGACCAGGTAGGTTGTGCGTCTTTAATTTTTAACTGAGATACCTCCACCATTTGTTCTACATTAACAGGAATACACCGAGTTGTGGGAGATTGGCCCAGGGGTCAACTATGATTCTTGAGCATCGGCTACTGGGAGTGATAATAGTCGTTAGCAATTCATGATAATGGGCTAAAGGCTAACACTTTGAGCATATATTAAGGTTCTGTTGAGGCTCTGTTACAATGTGGAGGACCTGCTAGTTGTCAGTAAACAGTTGCATTTTTGTAGCATTCAAAACCAGAGTGGTGTTGAAAAATGATGTAGCACATTGTTAAGAGAAAACATTGTCAAAATTGGTTTGTGGATACTTCTGTCAAGTCCATTTATCTTCTTCACAGATTTACACATTAACATTAGCAGCGAGAGGCAAACAAAATGAAGAAAGGAGCACTGAATCAGTATCCTTCAGAGAATTGTCCAGAGGTTTTAGGCCGAGTGGAGGACTCGTTTTCTTTCTTAGCAGTACAGGAGAGAAGGTAAGGAGGAGGAAGAGAGGGGGTTTGTTTTCCCGTTCACATCCAAAGAGTCCAGTTCTAGGACGAATATCCATGCGGCCACAGAGGACCTTAGCTTTACCATTACACTGAAAAGAGTAAAGACACACAGAGTTAGAGAAACGGGAAGAAAGATTGTTTTTTTTTAAACCAAGTTCAGTTTACACAATGTCAATCTAAAGTCAACCACAGAGGCTATGCATGAGAAAGATGGATATGGGCTGCTGGGTGAGGCCAATGGTGAGAGCGCTATGAGAAGAAGCCTTAGTCATGGAGGAAATTGAGACACCAGTTTGGGAGCAGAGATGTCTTCAAATGACTTAAATTTGGTAGTTTTTATTTAAAGCCTAACTACTTCTGCTAACACAAGAGGTATGAAGAGCACACGGAAGAGTAAGAGAGGGAGAGAAAGAAAGGATTAAGTGGTATCAAAGGAGGGGACTGATTTGGAGACCAAGTTTTCTGGCCAGAAGGGTAAAATCAGGAGAGGTGAGAGGTCACATAGGAGGACAGACTTGTAAAAACTGTACCGGTGTAACCAAACCCTGAAGAATATAATGGTACATGTTACATGTACATGTTCCCAAACTAGAAATCCTGCAACATCCTACAGAGGAGGGGGGTTAATTGCAATTATGAAATTTAACTTAAGCCAAAGTTTAGTTCTTAATAATTAGGAAGCATCTAAATAACTTATAGCATCCTTTTTAGGGATGTCACGAGAATCGATACTTCAGCACCAAGTCGATGCCAAAATTCTTAAAACATGATGGTACTGGTTTTTCTACAGTACTGTAGGTACCGGGGGGAGTCCATGGGATTTATTGGGGATTATTATTTGTTTTTTACCATGGTATCAAATCATGGAATTTTGCTGGTATTGGTATAGACTACTAAATTTCTGGTATCGTGACATCCCTAGTCCTTTCAGTTCATTGTTCATCTGCACTCTGTGTGTGTGACGGTTGCATTAATAGTCCTTAACAAATTTTCCCCCGCCGCCCAAAAAAAAAAAAAAACGTTCCTACGAACCTTGCTGCGCTGTTTTTTGTAATATAGTACATAGTGTTTTCAGTAAGTATGTTGTTAATGCTTAAGGATTTGCATATAAAATAAAATGCTGAGGATATCATGTATCCGAGACAAGGCCCCCGGATATGGCACTAGGATTTCATGTTTATAGTGTTAACACATCTCTAAGCATAAAGGGTCTACTATGCATTGCATGGCCCTCCATTAGTCTGCCTCTGAAACAGTTTTTGGAGTATTTAACTTTTTTGCAAGAATATCTTGAGTATCAAGAGACTATGGTCATTTCAGTTCTTTGACAGCCCATATAACTACAGTGTTACCTCAGGTTAAACCACAGACCTTTATGAATGCAATTTCAGACCTATTTTATGTCCATACTGGCAAAAAAAGTGCAAAGATGAAGGAACTGGTCCAATGTGTGTTCCACATTGTGTTCCATGATCAATTAAAAACAATCTCTAAAAACACTTTTAAAAAAGACTCCACAAGGTTAACTTCATTAAACAAATCCACTTTTAAGGCCTAAAATTCTGATCGCGACAGTATCCAACTATAACCATTAACAATTTCCCTTCTTAATTTTAGTTTACATATGGTATAGCAATTATACAATAGCTTGTCATCTTTAATATCCCTTATTTTATATTCATATTTATATTGTATTTGACTGTGACGGCTGTGACTACTGGCTGGTTGCAATCCCATAACTTCCATTTTAGGTATAGGCAGCTCTTAATGATGATAACAATGATCTTAATTTCTGTGTACAACATTCGGTTAATTTCCTTCACCATCTAATCTTGGAAGTGCTCAAATGTTTAGTGATTAGTGTGATCAGGAGTGAAATTACTACAAGCACAATCAAACCCATGCCAAATTTCCTTGAACCCAGGTCAACATTTCGGTGAAGCATTCAGAAAGTTCTCAGGCAGTGATCATGAATGAAAGCGAAATATCTGAGGACAACTCACCCTCTTCATCGCCCTGGCCTGCAAGCAAACAGAAACATCAGTGTAAGTTTCACATAGAAACAAGCACAGCAACAGTAGGCAGATCAGTTCAAACGGTTCATCTTGATACCAGCAGTGAGCCCGACTCTGCATAAGCCAAATTGTTTACATAGTGGGTTTATCTCCTTGCATGCATTAGTGACTGTACACAGTGATTGTGCTGCTGATGATCAGTACACTGCCAAATAGGATGCTCTATTCAAAATTGGATCATCTAGATAATCTACAATAGAAAATGGTAGTTGAGAGTCTGCCATCCAGAACAAACCATCAGTGATCACAAACAATGATAATGTTCAAACAGCATGCACACAGTCGGGTGCTGGGGCGGAGGAGGTTTGTGTTTTGAGGAAATGAGTTTGTGTTAAGGAGGAAAGGGGGCTTATAACAGGGGCGTTTGATTGGCTAATCTGGCAGAGCTAAGATATATACTGGTTTGGATCCAAGATGCATTTTTGAGTATGCATCTCTCCGAGACAATCCAATATGCATTTAGATACATGGGCTACAATACTTCACTCTACTGCACTGCACTGTAAATCGTGTGGCCGTTGTCAGAGGGTTTGTTAACCTAGCGACCTCGCGAGCCATGCTGTATTAACGTTACTGACGTCGCTCTGGTTGGGAGACCCTGGGGTTGACCTTTTACCTTTCACGAGAGTGGAGACGCCGTTAGCTGCAAAGCTTGACCCCTACTTTTTTTCCCCATGTCTACTATTGTTCATTATGACAACATTCTATGGATCCGTGTTGGGGCTGATCCAGGCACATTTTAATGGATCGGCATTGATTAAAGCATAAATCAGATACAAAACGGATCCTCTTTACTCTGCTGTGTTTTGTCCCATTTAGCCTGCTAGTGTTGCAGCGCTGCTCTGCGTTACTACAGTGCAGCACTTCATAACTTATTTGGGTGCACTGTGAGTTCAGACTCTGAGATGGCAAAATACCCAGATTGGCTAAGCTACAATATAATTATGATTATCAAAGAGCAGTGTACAAAACAGTTAGCAAGTTTCTTTTAGCAGGCACTGACAGCCGCTGTCACTGCCTGCAGCGGATCATATGAGCTGGCACTAACTGATGTTAATTTAGTGAGTGACTTGATGACAGAACTAAATTACACTGGTCTGTTGTCTGCTTTGTGTGCTCTCTGCAGAAGATCATCTCTGTGAGGGAGGAAGCTCCACTCTGTACAATCAGAACACAGTGTTTCTGTAGTTTAACAAACAGCACTTCTCTCTAGAAGATTGTCACTTTATCCCACTTCTTTTTTCATACATACATCAGAATTTTAGTCCAAGAATTAAATATTCTACAACAAAACCAGAAAACATTCACAACTGTGAATTTACAAAAGAAAAAAAAAAAAAAAAAAAAAAATATATATATATATATATATATATATATATATATATATATATATATATAAAAATAACAACAACAATAATAATAGTCAAAATTAGCACCAATTAATTTTCCATTCTATTCTTTACAAAAACAACAAGTCAAACTGCTGCATGAATGGAAACACTCCACCAGAAACAATTTCCAATAAATATTTCAAACTGATAAACTAGTCTGATGTAGTCCTGGCACTGTGAACATGTGAACTGGTCTGACTGTTGGCCTCTTTAGCACTCCAGCAGGATTCTAAGATGCTGGTAAAAGTACACAGGCTGGACAGCATGGCCACCCTACCAACACACGGTGGTCAGACTGAGCAGAGTGTCTTCATTCATGCGTTGGGTCAGTGACGTTCCCTTGCTGCTGAAATAAGCAGAGGATAATCTGGGACTGTCCCACAATCCTTTGCTTGGGGAGAAGTCAAATCTTTTAGCTCACGATGAGGCAGAGCAGCAAAACGGGGCTACATGTCAATTCAAGAAAGACGACACATTTGACAGATGGTTGTGGCGGTTAGTGAGCTTTAAATGATCAGAGCGGACGAATGAAACGCGTGCTTGTTGTCCTCTGAATCCTCAGCTCGACTTTAGCCCATAATATACTTAGACTTCCATTATGTATTTACAATTAGATCTGCACCTCTTGGAAAAGACTCTAAAACAAACAATTTTTCCTCTCCCCTTTCTTAATGTTAATCACATATCTTGCACTATCAATAAAAACAAATGCATAAATAAAAACCACCAAAAAATAAAAAATAAAATCATAGAAAGAACAGGAGCTAAAGACCAGACAGAAGTGCTTTTAATCTTTACCATATGTATGATGCTCATTTCTATTACAAAGCAATAAGTAAGTGTTTAATATTGATTAAGTATTGCTTGATTTAATCAAATGGTTTTATTTTTCATCCACCATGTTTGTTGGTCCTGATTTCAGCACCAGGAGCTGTCCACAGAATGAGCCATTAGGCCTGGTGCACAACAAGCACAGTATTGTTGGTTCCTCCACATGGGAGTAGTAATTATTTGTTACAGTCTGTTACTGAGTCATTGGATTTAATATGGCTGTGGATTTTACCTTCTGTCTGGAGGAGGTGTTTTTATGTCTTCAATTTGAGAATTTGTCCATTAAGCCATTCAGTAGACTAAATAATTACATCAGAACAGTTTCCTCTTTGCCAACCACTATGCTAGATGGTTTAATAACAGCATCGGCATACAACTACAGATGGCTTGATTCCACATTTTCAATTCCAATACCGCAACAAATTATTATTGTACTACTGTTCTCTGCAGGTTCAAACAGGTTCAATTTTAGACTATAAAGGACTATTTCACATCCACACTGGAAAAAAAAACTACAGAGGATATGAAGGAAAATGGGTATTGGTTCCATGTTGGTTAGTAGTTGTAAAAATTCCCAACCCACATGCAAGACTGAAAACTTTATTCATGTAATGTTAACTTCATTCTGATCAGAATTAACATTAATTAATGCAGCCGATATTATTTTTCCATTTGTCATTTTAACCAGCAAAAATGGCCAACGCTGCTGGCCAACAGAGACATTTTTTTTGTTTTTGATTGTTGATTAGTTTGCGTTGGAGCTTCAAATGAAAAAGTCGTAGAAGCGGATCTAAAATAAAAGCGGCTATCAGAATCAAACCCTGCTTTTATAGCCTATATTACCTTTAAATGACACTGCTGTATATATTTGTGACACTGCTTTGTGACACTGCTGTATATATTTTTTGTTGTCCTGTGCAATTATATTATTTCTACGCCATACCACTACCTCCTGCTGTGCAATGTTCCATATCAATCACATCTGTATATTAAAAAGCTGTATATAGTGTACATATAACTCTTATTTTTCTATTATATCTTTTATTTGTTCTATTCCAATTTTATTCAGTGTATTTCCTCATTTTGTTGTGTTGTATCAGGAGCTTCTGTAGCAAGTGAATTTCCCCACTTTATTGGGATCAATAAAGTGTTATTGTAGCTTCACACATTATGAGCGAGTGGTAGTGAGGAAGACTTACTCTTGGGTGGCCATGGTTTAGGTGTCCACTCTGTCTTGGGTCTGGCCCGGATTTCTGCCACGCGTTCATTGTACCTGGTACTGTCGCCGGTCACAGTGCTGTACGCCTGTGGGGAGAGGACAAAGTCTGACATCTGGTTCATTTCTCATTCCTCAAACAGAAAGCTTCACCGATATTGCAATGAAGTCATTTCATAAGATCGACTCGTTTGTTGGAACTGGGGGTTTAACCCTTTGCTGAGGACACATCGTTAGCATTCTGGACCTTGCTTAGTGTTAGCATCATCAAATGTGTTGAAGCTGAACTGCTGAATATAACTTACATATGTGATACCACCAGCAAAGGCCGCACCACACAGCAAGGCGTAGACTATGTTCTCCCCAGACCCACCAGGGACTGATGACATCTGCCGCCGCTGCACAACTGGAAAGAGTTCAAAAGTCACAGGTTATTTGATAACAAAAATATGAAAATTTCTCAAATACTGCACCATTGTAAATGGTAAATGGACCTGTACTTGTATAGCGCCTTTCTAGTCTTCTGACCACTCAAAGCGCTTTTACACTACGTGCCACATTCACCCTTTCACACATGGTAAACAGAACAGAAACTAACATTCATACACATTCACACACCAGTGCACGGCATCAGGAGCAATTTGGGGTTCAGTATCTTGCTCAAAGATACTTGGACATGTGGCGGGAGGAGCCGGGGATCGAACCAACAACCTTCTGATTAGTGGACGACCCACTCTGCCTCTGAGCCGCCCGTGTATCAGCAAGTAAGTGGAGTGATCCAATACCACATAATTGATTAGCCCATAAACTGACTCTGCCACTTCCCAGCAGTGTCCTGTTCTATTTTGTAAATGCACATGCATCAGATCGGTACTTGGTATCAGCCAATGCGCGAAGTTCAGGTATCAGAATCAGTCCCCACTTATCGATGAGCCTGGGTGGGCAGACCCTCGTGGCTTTGATAAGATCCTGCAGGACAGAAATAATGTGCCACACAAGCCCATAAGCCTCAGCTCTCTCAGTGTGAAAGGGATTGGAAGCACGCTAAGACGCTTTACTGGCCTCATGCCTCCTGCTGATTGGCTTTAGCACCAAATAGATTTAGATTGCCAAAAATATGCCTGTCAGTGCGTGTTTGACGCCTGCAAGGTGATCCACACCCTGGGAAAGAAAAGACAGAGTTGGGTTATGCTCACTGTTAAACACTGCAGTTCAGGTAATAGAGTGGTGGGAGGAAAACTCTGATCAACTAGTCGCAGTCGGAGCAGACATCATACCCCGTTTTATTTGACTCAGCAAAAGCTTTGTTTTACTTTGGCACAACATTTAGCGACACTAAAGAAAATGCAGGCCAGCAAGCTTTGTTTACTATGAACAAACTTGGACTGGAGTCAAAACCTCTTACATCAGCATTCCTTTAAACCCTGTGCACACACCAGAGAATCACTCTTCCAACAAACAACGTGCATCTGAACACAGTATGCAGCCGTTTGGTGTAGAGAACTTGGCTGTCCAAAGGAAACCGCAGTGTATCCACAAAAAAAAGAACATTGGAGTCCACCATGTTGAACCACCATATTTCTCTTACCAAAACATTGGCTCTAGATAAGGCCTTAAGCATTTTTTGCGCAGGAGTTTCTCCTACACACTTCGCTTGTTCTCTTTCCCAGGTCATCAAATACAGATGCGAGTGGTTTTCAGTTTTCAGAGTCTGTAACTCAACAGCTAGATGGTAAATGGTAAAAAGGACTACTTATATAGCACCTTCCGACCACTCAAAGCTCTTTGCCTTTGCCAAAGCCCACCGAACAGAATCTCACTCAGTCTTCTACCCTCAGTTGTGCATGAACTACAGGTTAGAAACAAGAGCGAAATTTGTCGGTTATCGGTTGTTGGTCTGGGCCATGACGAGCAAGTGATTATTGGTATTGGCTGAAGACATCCATATCACCACCAGCTGTACAATATCCCTACAGCACCCAAATGAATTCCCTTTCTAAAATAGATAATGAATGCCTTTCAATTGTGAACTCAGAGAAACACTGTCAAATTAACCCGTTGTTCTTGTAGAAGTTGAGTATTGTCGTGTTGCCCCTCATGTTGAGGGCATTAACCTCATATTCTCAGGAACTAATCCGGTGTCCAGGGCTGACATGACCCTGTTATTTATACCGGCTAATCGGCTCAAGTCCTAGGTATGAGTTGGAGGGATAAGTGGTGAAACTTCATGACCAGTGGAGGAGAAGCAGTTCAAGAAGTCACAGGATTAGAGCATGATAGCCTTCTCCGGTTAAGTGGGACCACTGAAGTGGAGGAGAGGCTGCAATGTCAGGGTCTGGTGTCCAGCAATATTTGTCTGATCTCTGAATGGAGGTTGGGAATGGAGTGGACTTTGAGGTAATCTCTTAAGAGGCCCCCAGTAGTGCCTGGCAGCAAGACAACAAGCAAGCCCAGGGTGGGAAGGCATGTCATGCTACCATCTTTTTTAGGCCTGGGCTTGGTCAGGAATCCAAGATGTTTCCTGAAGCAGTCAGGACACAGCCAGCCAGAGCGGGTGCAGCCGAGCACACATTTAGGAGGATCTATTGGTAGTAATGGAATATAACAATAGGTATGTTTTCATTAGTGTATAATCACCTGGTTTTTTTTAACCTTACTACAATGAGCAATTTTTTAATAAAGTGGGAGCAGATCCTTTTCGCTGCCATTGTAGTTTCTCCTACACGCTTGCAACGGTGTAGGAGAAATGCACTCAATCCTACACACTGCACCTTTAAAAAGGCCCCCTCCAGTCAAAAATCTGTGTTTCTTTAGAAATTAACATTTGCATATTCATCGATTCTGGAATTTTTAAAAGGCAGTAGGAGTAGATGTCTTTAAAGGATTTTAATGTGGGAATTACACTTACACAAAAAACACATCTTGATACCCCTTGAGCCACAAAAAATTAAAAAAATATAAAATTAAGAAATTAAAAATTAAAATAATAATGATAAAAATATCAGTATGTCCATATTTGTTTGTTTGAAATAGGGACTGCACCCAGTAATATGTGTAAAATATGATAGAAAATCCTATTCGCAACCTTTCCTCTGCCTGTCTGAATGCCTCATCAGCTCTGGGCCGATAGAGAAAGCGCCCCCAGGAGGCGGGTCTATGTAGCAGTTAAGCCAATTGCTAATTTAAGATATGAATGTATGACAATGATAAAATTCAGCCAATCAGCGTCCTTAAATCGAATCCAAGAAGGGTGATTATTTTATCGCCCCAAGCTCGCCCCTGATAAAATAAGGACCGGGCTATAGGGGCGCCATTTTTACTAGACGACAATGGCGAGCGCGAACGATACTCCTCCAAGACCAAGACCCAACCCTAACTCAGTGAAATCTCTCCTCCAAGATCCGTTTGAGAGGAGAACTTTGTCGGAGAAAGTTGGGGTGAAAGAGCTGGGCCCAGATCAACCTGAGCTCTCAATCAGACAGCAGGCTAGCGAGAGAGGGAAGCAGTATATGGCGGCGGCTTCTCCCGTAGCCGGTACACCGGGAAGGCTTGGCTAGCTGGGTGCACTCATGCTAATGCTGTATTTTGCTTTCCGTGCTTGCTTTTTAAAACAACGGGGACAGATCCAGCATGGACAGTTACCGGAGTGAGGGATATGAAGCACCTGTCAGAGAAACTAAAGTAACACGAGAACACCAGGGCACACATGGATAACGCTGTAAAGCTAGCCATATTAGGAAGGGTGAACATCGCTACGCAGCTGGATGACGGCCACAGGATTGCGGTGAGGAAACATAATGAGGAGGTGGATAAAAACAGCCACATTTTATCCAGAATTATAGATTGTGTGAAGTTTTGTGGGATTTTTGAGTTGGCCTTGCGTGGGCATGACGAGACTGACTCGGACTCCTCGGACAACCCCCCCCATTTTCCGGGGCTTGGTGGATTTTATTGCCTGCCTTGACAGTGTGCTGGAGGAGCACCTGAAGACAGCTACCAGCTGCAGCCAGCTAGCAGGATAGCATTGAGCAGCATTGTGGCTAGCAAACATGTCCGCTGTGTGGAAATACTTTACACTGGAAACACCGCAGAGCAAGACAGCAAAATGCAATGTTTGCAAAGCCGTAATTCAGAGACGCGGAAGCGCCCTCGCGTCGTACAACACTACGAACACAATCAAACATTTAAAAAAAGCACCACACGAAACAGCACGAGGATTTTTTAGGCGAGCTGTCAGAAATCACTTCTGGAGTCATTCCAAAAACAAGGTAAACTCCAGGCAGACAACGGGAAAGCTAAAGGGATTACCGAGTGTGTGTGTGTGTGTGTGTGTGTGTGTGTGTGTCTGCGCGCACAAGATGTTTACAGTTATTGCACTTTTCTTATATTTCAGATAATTGACATTTAAAAAGCTTGATTTATTGATACTACAAGAGCCAGTGTACTTGATTTGTGCTGCTCAGATGCACACTGTTTTATTGATAGTGTGTGTGTAAGATGTTTACACTTATTGCACTTTTCTTATATTTAAAGACTCAAATATTTGACATTTTGGGAATTTAATAAATATTGAGATGACAATACATTTGAAACCCTTACAGTTGCATATTTGTTTTCAGAATGGGATTTTTCCTGTTAACAGGATTTCCTGTTTTTCTGACTTCATACTTACCTCAAGTTGCCTTTTGGGACATACATACATACATACATACATACATATCATACTTGCCTGTTGAGGAGTTTATTTCAGCCTCATATAAAATCAACAATAATGATAATGATAATATTAAAGCAAACAGAGCTCTGGTATCGGAATAGTATCGGTATCGGCCAATATCAAAATTCAGGTATCGGGATCGGATCGGAAGTGAAAACATGTGGATCGGTGCATCCCTAAATGAAGTACTCAATTGGTATCGGTATCGTGTTAAGGGTACTGGTATTGGTACTGGTATCGAACATTTTTAAATGATACCCAGCCCTACTGACTATTTCACTGAGCACTGGTGTCCTGCAGTTTGTGTTAAATTGTATTGCGATGGTTACAGAAACAAAAAAGTATGGCACAGTCCCACCGAGAATATTTTTCCCCAGCCGCCACTGGCCAACACACTTTCAGCCAAACATGACGTCTGAATGCAAAAGTCAAAGTCCTTACTTAACCTGTCTGAAACCCGAGCTAACCGGACAGACAGCCAGCTGACACCGTTAGCCAGAATAACCGCTTGGACTCAAGGTTGGAAGTATCACCAAGGTAGGTAGTGAAAAAGCCTTTTGTCCTTCAAATTTGTAACATTTTGGCTCCTACATGAAACACGACTGTTTTCTATGGAGGCCCATTTTCATCAGCTTTGACCAGTCAGTATACTGAGAAAGCTATACTGACTTAGTATCTCAAAAGAATGACTCTCTCAGATACCGAGTCACTGTTGAGAAGGTTTCTCATTCTAATGACTTACCAGAATCCCTTTTTTCCGTCACACTGGCGGAAATGGGCCTCCATAGCGTTTCCATGGCTCACTCACGGTTGTGTAAGGTCATCAGACAGGAAGAGAAGCTGCCGGTGGCACGGTGCCGTTCAGCAACCGTAGGGGTGTCGGGTAGCTAGCTCGTGCCTCTCTACTCTTTACATTGGACCACCGTCACACGCGCACACCACGTGACGCACAGCGGCAACCATGTTTCCACACCAACTTTCCCCACAGTGTGCTGAAGGTCATATACAATGTATACCTGCTGTACGTTAACGTTTTAAACCAACACACAATTCAATGAACGTAGCTTCAGAGAATTAAACGTGTACGTGGTTCGTTAGTATTAACGGTTCGCCACACACTGCTTTAAAATGTACCGTCATATAGAAAGTATGGACACAGGCTGACAGACGGAGGATTACACATCCTCCGCTCTGCCTAACACTGGCGGCGGACACAGAGAGCGGTCGCTCAGTGTCCTTATCAAACAGTCCAACCGGGACTCACGGTATACCTAACGTTATCTCCACGAGGAGCAGCCTGAATGTACGCTCAAATGAATGACACCATTTAAACACCATAGATTAAAGTGCACACCAAAGCCGTGTCATCCCAAATTCACTTGACCTTCACACCCCAGTGGCAGCCATGGTGATCCTGCGGCTCGAGGATGCAGCTATGCGGAGACATTGACACGAGGACAGAGTGTACTATTCCAGCGACCACACATCGCCACACAGGCAACGTCACATTCTAGCGCAGAGGGGTGGTGGAGAAAGGGAAAACATTCGGGTTCGGGTTCTGGTTCTGGCTGATCGAACTCACCATCCCGGGGCAACCTATAGGCTGCTGTCCGTGCCAAAGGCCCACACCTTTGCCAGGCCGCTCTGCAGGAAAACATCGCTGCTCTCCGGGGCTACGAAGGGAATGCTGCAGCTTCAGCAAACGCTGGATGAATGGCTGCTCCGGTCGGCTCAGAGCAACGTGCGAGGAGGCGGAGGACGGCCCTGCCCCCCTGTTGTGCAATTTATGTTACACTGTAACGTTGTATGGGGGGTGGTTAATGCCACAGTCAGGAGGAAGATGGCAGGTATGAGGAGTTGTTAGAACCCTGGAAGAGAAGGAGACTGAATATTTATTTATTTATTTATTTATTTATTTATTCAGTGCCACAGAGAAACATAATGTACAAGGAGCTGTTAGAACCCTGGAGGAGGTTGAAGAAGATTTAATATGTACTTATTTACTTACTTATTGCAACACAGAACCAGCAAAGTGGCATGTATGAGGAGTCGTTAGAACCCCTGAAAGAGAAGGAGATTTTATTTTTTTATTTACATACAAAAACAAACTGAACCGAAATAGACTGAAACAAAATTAAAATCAGAATCAGAAACAGAAATACTTTAATAATCCCAGGGGCAAATTACTCTCATTACAACTCCAGATATACATACAACATATATACATACAACATATAATACATTAAGAACATAATATAAATATATATATATTTATATATATACACACAAGGTAAAATGTACAGTTTTGAAATGTGCAAAAAGTGCAACAATGATATTCCGTTGTTTGAGTTACAGAGAGGGGGTGTCTGACTCTCTGAGGGAGGCGTTGTAGAGATTGATGACCACAGGCAGGAATGATTTCCTGTGACGCTCTGTAGTGCATCTGGGTGAGAGGAGTCTTCTGCTGAAGGTTCTCCTCTGCTGGGCCAGTGTGTCGTAGAGAGGGTGAGAGACATTGTCCAAGATATAAAGGAAAAGCAAATTAACTAATGAAATGAATTCAAAGGGGCTAGAACTTTTTTAGTGAATCATATTCCTCTAGCATACTAAAAAGTTTCACTGCATTTTTACCTTTCATGACTTTCAGAACTTTGACATAAGAAAGACTCTCATTAGCAAATACATCCTCTGCTGGGCTTTTGGGGTCCGGGGTGATTATGGGGGGAGTTGTAATCAGCAACTACACCACTAGACGCCACTAAATTCCAAACATTGGACCTTTAGGACACTTTTGCATTGGCTTCACTTTTCAGACCCAGAAGCTATGACCACTATTTAAACAGTCTATGACCCAACTTTCCTTAAGTTACCACTCTTTTCTACAAATGCAACACGTGCTGAATACCTGGTCAAATTTAGTATGTAATATACTATTGGGACAATGTTTTACACTTCCTACATTTTGTGCGCAGAGCAACTGGCAGGAGTATTCCAGCATCTGTTTGACCTCTCCCTGAGGTTGAATAAGGTGCAGAAGATCTGGAAGACTTCCTGCTTAGTTCCTGTTCCCAAAAAAGGAAGAACCAGCGCTCTCAATGTCTACAGGCCTGTAGCTTTTACGTCACATGTCATGGTGACCTTTGAGAGACTGGTTCTGCAGCACCTCAGACTGCTGGTACACGACTGTCTGGACATTATCTACCTGCTTCACAGAGCTTACACCCACCTGGACAAGGCACAGAGCACCGTGAGGATCATGTTCTTCGACTTGTCCAGTGCCTTTGACACCATCCAGTTTCTCAGGCTGGCAGAGAAGCACTCTGTGATGCAGGTGGATCAGGACCTTGTAGCCTTGTTTACAGACTACCTCACTGACAGAACACAGTATGTCAGACTGCACAGCTGCTTGTCAGACGTGGTGACGAGCAGCACTGGCACACCCCATTAACTGTACTGTCACCGTTCCTGTTCACCCTCTACACCTCTGACTTCTGCTTCAACTCCGGAGCGTGCCACCTACAGAAGTTCTCTGATACCTCCTCCATTGTCGGCTGTATCTCAGATGATAGGGAGGAGGAGTACAGAGACCTGACCCAGAACTTCGTTGAACAGAAACGACCTGTAGCTCAACACAGGGAAAACCAAGGAGCTGGTGGTGGACTTCAGCCGCAGCAAGACCCGCAGAGGGTAGAGATGGTGACACCTACAAGTCCCTGGGGGTGACACTCAACAACAAACTGGACTGGACGGATCACACTGAGGCCCTCTACAGGAAAGGACAGAGCAGGCTGTTCTTTCTGAGGAGGCTCAGGTCATTCAACGTGTGCACTCGGATTACTACAGATGTTCTACCAGTCTGTAGTGGCCAGTAGAGGTGTGAATTGTCACTGATCTCCCGATTCGATTCGATTCGATTCCTCGATGCATCACGATGTGTCAAATACATTTTTGACGGAATGCATTAAGATACTGTATAGTTCAATATAATACAGTTTTCTATATTACTCCATATGGTTGTTTTCATCCAAAAACACAAGTAGTAAGATATAAACAATCTTTTTTATTTAACAGTCTGAACACAGCAGACAGCACACACACACAACACACACACACACACACACACACACACACACACACACACACACTTCATAGCTTTTTAAACATTCTGCAGTGCTCTAATTCTTAATACATTGGATACATAAAACTACAGCACTGAGCACATGGCACTTCCTGAATGTGCAAAGCATAACAACCAGTCAGAGACTAAGAGACAAATGTTTTACTGTGTTACTGCAAAGAGCCACATCATACACACTTTTCACACAGTCCATATAACAGTGCCATGCCATGCCTGTTGTCATCTTTCACCAATACCAACTTTAATGGTGTCAGATTCACACTCCTTACCATCTCACTATCACTAATATAATATACAAACATCCTCCCTCACTGGTGGTGTAGTGGTTAGGATTTGGCGCGCTCACCGTCGCAGCCCTGGTTCGATACACGTCCAATTCCAAAATAAAAGCCACTTCACTCTAGCTCTAGCTAGGCTAAGCGAGCTAGCTACACGCGAGAGGTCTCTTTAGTACAGCTGGTGAGGGAACAGTGGTTACCGACGGAGGAGTCAAGCCTTCGTTGCCTCCGTCATGGCGCCATGGTGGGTGTGAAGTTCACATCAATGCCGATCAGAGGTGAAGCCGATTAATGTCGGGTGTTAACGAGTTTACATAGGTTTTTTGGGCAGTGTGAAAGGGGCTATACACAACAAACAACAAAATTCGATATGAACGAAAGAGAATCTTGACGAATGACGTCAGGTAAATGAGACCCGGATGAGACTAGAGTCTATCATAGGTCTAGATGAAACGGGAGAAGGTTATTTTTCATTTGAATGTTTATGCCGAGGCCGGAAAATTAACGAGCGACATCATTGCATGCTAATCGATTACGGTCGGCCACTGCATCGATGCAGCATCGTCCATGTCTGCATCGCGATGCATCGATTATTTGATTAATTTCAACACCTCTAGTGGCCAGTGCCCTCTTCTTTGCTGGTGTGTGCTGGGGAGGAGGCATCGGGACTTGTGGTGCCTCTCTACGGTGAGCTGAGGCAGCTCAGGAGCACTTTCAGCCACAGACTGATCCAGCCTCGAGCCTCAAAGCGTTTGTACCGGCCATCAGACTCCACAACGCCACAGCACCCAGTACCTCCAACCCCGCTGACCCGCTGACTAAGACCGGTTTAACTCCAACCTACAAACTTTTAATATTAAGTAATCAATTAATTAATTAATATTAATATTTATCTTTAAATTGCACATATACAGTTTATTTTTTTAGTCAAAGCTGCTCAGAATATTTTGCACACCATTTTACTGCATATTGCATATAGTGTATATATTTTTCATTTATAGTCCATATTTTCTAATATTCTTTTTTTGTGATTCTTATTGTACCTCCACTTCTGTTCTCTTTGCACTACATTGCCCTATGCTGCTGTGTAGAATTTGAATTTATCCTATGGGGGATCAATAAAGGTACATCTTATCTTCCTATATCCACTTTTACAACGTGTGTAGGATGTGTAGAAGATACTATGGTGGCCGGGAAACTCTCAAAACTCAGCTCATTCTAAGATAACAAAAACACAACGAGTCTCATTTGCAGGTGATTATACACTAATGAAAATAAATGTTATACATTGGACCTATACAATTACCCTACAGCATGTCATCTTATAAATGACCTCTCCTGCTTCTTCTCCTTTATGGCACTGATCACCCTCTATACATCATGGTGACTTTCATCCTCCCCATACAGAAGCACAGAAGGTCACTTCAGACAACATGTGGACACAATATTCTATCTTCAGGCTCAAATGTGTTGCTGCTGTCGATTATTTATATGTGACTTATTGATATAACTGTTGTCCTCATGGTTAGCTACAGCTCTGTATACTGTCTTTAGGTCTATCTTAGTAAAACATTTCTAATTCCACATTTACAAACTAAACATTCACAGCAATCATTTCTAAGTGGACAGTTTGGTGCTGCCCTCTATCAGAGAGATGTCCTTTAACGTAGTGATACACAATGACAATATTTACAATGTTCAATAATGTCCTTTGGCTGTTCTTTGGGAAGTCAGCATATCAGTGACCTGTGCAGTGCGCAGAAGCACTGACACTCGATTTCTGACCTCTGCAGGGCTGCTGTGCCTGGATCTGCCGCTTGGCTAAAATGTGTGAGGACAACAAACGTTAAAAGGTTGACCATGAAAACAGGCAATTCAGTGAAAAATGGACATGTGAATTGGCTTTCATTTTGCCAGCTCATACCAACACGAAACCACTGTGTTCAATTTCCCAAACAATAAAAGCTGGATGCTAGGTTGCTAATATCGGGGGCCATCACAAATTCTTCAGTGCAGCGAAGTCTGATAGCACCGGAAGAAAAGAAAGAGTATGAGTTTATAATGCCACAGCAACAACCCCAATGTTCATTTTAGCTGATAAATATTATTATGTGTTTACTGACTAAGTAAACTGAGTATTCCTCCTCGAAATAAAAAATATAAGCAATCTTTCTGAGAAATGTAAGAATCAATGTCTATAAATGTTCTGCCTCTCGAGCTGGGGCCTTCTGCTCCCTGTGTATGCACTGTATATGCAATGGGGCCACAGTAGGTGAACAAGTGTTAGCCCTGTGCTAGTGCCAGTAAGCTGCGTACAGTACAACTAGACGTTTATACAGTGACTGTTTGGAATTGTAAATGCAATGCATCATTAAGAATAATAAATCAAACATTTCTAACACACTGACCTACTTGTGCTACAGTAAATGCCAATACCACAGCAGCTGTGAATTTATGTGAACAAATGGATCATGACTCGTGCATATTTCACAGAATACATTTTTATTTTACACAGAATTCAGAGTGAGGAACCAGGAACAGTGGAAACAGAAAGAAACGCACAGAGGTACAGGTGCATCCTAGAAGAGGACCAGACCACCTCCTGCATGAAGAAAGGACAGAGTATCATGTTTAATTTGTTCATCTATTTATACATTTTACATCTTCACACTGGATGACAGTGTGTGTGGCAATATAGGTATCAGATGACACAATAATGACAGAAGTTGATTTCATATTCAATTTTAGTATCATCTAAACAAGCACTCACATAGCACTGTGGCAGGTTATTCCAGGCCATTCCTCACTTTGTACTCATGTACGTCTGTGCTGTGCTGCTGGAAGAGCTGCAGGAGTGAAACAGACGATTGGTTGCATCAGAACATTCTTCATATTCAGTTACACTTTATTTCTACAGCACTTTTCATACAAACAAAGTGGAGGTGTAGTGCTTTCCACATTAAAATACCCTACACTGTTAAACAACAACAACAACAACAACAACACAACAGTAATATTGTGGGAGCTGGGGCACCAAAAAATACTGTAAAAAAAATGGACTCAAAACAGTCATTTTCTATAATTAAACACAGTCAGCTTTATCATCAAATTTTGTTTCATTTTGGCTTTTTAATGTTTAGGATACACACACGTGAAAACAATTAAATGACCTATAAATTCAGGCAAACACTGCTTTCATACAAATAATCAGACTAACATTTACAGAATAGTGCTGTTATTATTAGATATTTCTTATTTGAATCTGATTTTTAAAAGTTATTCAACTGTAATAAAAGTCAACATCTGTGAAATAACTAATTATTGCTGTTTCCGGTAATAAAAAAATGATTTTAGTTTACCAATGCTTATACACTAACAATTTTTTATTCAACATTTATTTATTCACACATTCTTGTTGTGAAAACTTCCATAATTATACAAGATATCTGTCCATTAAAAAACAAATCTATGTAAAATTATAGAACAAATACTTTTTTTTACCGTTTTACCATCACTAATTTTACATCATTTTAGAAATGTATTAGCAGTATTACACTTGAATTTAACAGTTAATCTATTAAATAAACAGTTAATATCTGTGAAAAAAATTCTTTAAATAAGCAGGCATTTAATGATTAGTTACAGATCATTCACATTATTTTACATCAGACATGTAAATTCACAGGCTATTTTTGTAATGTTCTTAATATTTCCATGTATTTAAAAAAATACAGAAACAATCTGTAAAATAAACAGGATAGGAAAAAAGTGATAAAACAGATAAATAAACAAATAAATAATAATTTAAAAAAACAAATATATAGACAAACAGATAAGTAAATAAAAATCTGACAAAAAGTCTTGAGTTTGCTTTTAAAAGTGTGCACACTGTGTGCTGCCTTCAGGTCCTCAGCAGGGCTGTTCCACAGAGGACCGGAGGGATAAAAAGATGCCTTGCTGTGGCTCTTTGTTCTGGCTTTGGGGACGATAAAAGGCCACTACCTGAAGACCTGAGGGTTCTGGAGGGCTCCCATAGTGTAAAGCAAATCTGATAAATGAGTAAGACTAAAACCATTAAGAGCTCTATAAACCAATAAAAAGGATGTCATTATGATATGGGATATTCAACCACATCCCATCATAATTTGAACTGCAGCTGTCAAAAGGATTCATTTAGGACTTTGTGAGAGCTTTTTGTTGGACTTAGATAAAATAACATTTTACAGCTAAATAAGTGCAATAGAATTACACATCAACTGGCAAATGTAAAGATCTGATCTTTTACCATGGCTTAGACTCTAAAAGATATATCTATTGTATTAGATCATTTAACACCCATTTACTGCTTGAAATTCAGCATACAGTCCTTTGTCCTGATTCACCAAGCGGCACTGAAAATCAAACATTAAAAATTTGGAATACGTTTTAAAAATAAAACCTGCTTGCTGCTCACTGCTGCCCTCTCATGGGTGAAATAATGGCAAACACTCTGAGATACAGTGAGCTGCATGGTGGACCAGATGCTGTGTGCTCCAACTTTGCCTGGTTGCTACATGAGCTGCTATAAGATATGTATTAATTCGGTTAGTCAATGATAAAAAGAGCATGCTATGAACAGAGTGGGGTTGCACAATTAACTGAAATATTATAGAAGTCAGAAGCTGCAAATGTTTGCATAAAGGTCAAATGTGACAAACAGCATTATAATTAAGTACTGAGAAAGTCATGGGGCTAAAAGAAACACTTGATCAGTTTAGAGATTATAGATGTTAAAGGTCCAGTGTGTAACATTGAGGAGGATCTATTGTCAGAAATGGAATATAATATCCATAGGTATGTTTTCATTAGAGTATAATCAGCTGAAAATAAGAATCGTTGTGTTTTTGTTACCTTAGAATGAGTGTTGCACGGTGCACCGATACTTCAAAAGTATCGCGATTCTCAGAAATTAAAAACGTCTTCTATTCCTAAGATTCCTAAATGTATTAGTATCGATACTTTTAAGAATGACCGCGCTCCAGATTTGATCTATAGGCTATATGATTATAATCAGAGCATGTGCATGTTTGTCAGTGATTTATTTATATTGGGTTATTAGAGCATTTGAAGAGCACAGACCTACGCAAAGGAGGTGTATTTGTGAAACGTCTTGTAAGAAATGATGGACTCAAAGATAAAGTTAACCATCAAAGAAATCAGACGTTGAAGTACAGGAAACATTAGCCTATATTAATCCATATATCACAGCTTAAATAACATTAGGTTAACTCATTATTTCCTATTATTAATTATGGTAATGTTATGGTTAAGTAAATGTTAGCAGTTATCACTATAACCACTGCATATAGAGATGCTAAGTTAGTCACAAGTTATTGTTACTATCACACATAAACTATTTAGGTCCTCTGTTATGACAAATTTATCACCATCATATTTTAAATGTTTCCATTTTCTTCTGCTACAGCAGTCTGGAGCCACAGGCTCCGAAAGAGCAACTCCTCAAAGGCAGCAGCCAACCCAGCACCAACCCTCTGAGCTATGTTTGAGCAGCACAAGTACCCAGGCTTTATTATATTTAATCTTTTTAATGTTTACATTGTTTAATAAAATCACTGTTCATGTTTTTATTCAAAGTTCAGAATCAAGATAAAGTTGTTTTCTCTTATGTTTCTTATGATAACTGAGATAATGCTGCTAAATGTATTATTTTTTTACCTTGAATGTGATTGCTCCAATTTATTTTTGATATTTTGATATTTCATATTTTGTTTAAATGTTTAATATATCTGCTGCTCATATGTTCATTCATTAGTGTGCTATTTGATTAAAATCTTGTCCCGGTTTTAAAATAAAGCACAGCAATGATATTTGAGAGTGTGTTCGAAATTGCAATTCCTGACTTGTTATCGGAATCGAAACAACTCAGAATAACACACTTTATCTGGAGACGCTGCGGTAGGGGTGGGCGATATGGGCAAAAAATAATATCTCAATATTTTTGGGATTTTGGCGATAACGATAATCAGTCGATATCCTTTAAAATGTGATTAGAATTGTCTGAGCTGTACTTGTGTCCACCAAACGCGTTTACAGCGCTGAGAGAGCTCAAAAACTCATTTTCCGAGCGTCCAGCGGTGTTAAAAGTTGAACAGATTTCAACTTGCAGCGCTCTTCTGGCAGAGAGGTAGACCCACGTCTCGGCACTAAATCATCTGACATACCGGTAGCTTCAGGAACTGGAGGTGCTTGCATTTTCTCTCTACCATCACAACGCGCTGCTAAACTGTTGCAAGGAGGATGCTAGCGAGAGGTCACGTGATCACGTCATGTGATCACGTAGGCCACTAGTCGTGTGACTGAATCCTGCCATGCTGTAGAGAGCGCTGCTGCACCGTGTATTAATGGATGTGAGGAGTTTCCGCGGGCGTTTCATTGTTTTTGTCGAAGTAATTTAAATACTCGATAATGGAAATTTGCACATCGTCAAAACAACAATGACGATATTATCGCAAACGATATATATCGCCCACCTCTACGCTGCGGGTCGTTGAACTACAATGTTTCTACAGTAGCCAAGAAGGGACAAACTACACAGCAGCTGTAGATGCTGTTTGCCTTTCTCGTGTGTTTTGCGGGCACCATAGTGTCTCCCTTGGAAATGGATGGGTGAAGCGAGTGAGTTGCAATCTGCAACCACACACTGGACCTTTAATAAAATGTTGTGAGTGAAATGGAGTGGTCATTTACCAGACCCCAGATGACAACAGATGATCCAAAGGCCAGACCCACTCGGAACCAGCTGGGCTTACTGAGGTCAGGCTTGGAGCTTGTGAACACAGACCTGGATCCAACTGGAAAACAGAACGACAGCGTGAAGACCCACAGTCAGACCCACCCTCAGACCCCCCCTCAGACCCACACTCAGACCCACACTCAGACCCACACTCAGACCCACACTCAGACCCACACTCAGACCCACACTCAGACCCACCCTCAGACCCACACTCAGACCCACAGTCAGACCCACACTCAGACCCACACTCAGTGGGTGTCAGTGGAGCAGGGTTCGAGCAGGACTGTACACAATGAACCCTGCTCCCACTCAAACACTGAGACACTGAGACACTGAGCTCCAGCTCTCCACACACCACAGAGCGGCGTTAACGGTCCCTGGGTAAAGACAGGATACTACTGCTTACTGTTGAACTACATTAACAGTATAGGAATATATTAGCGATTGGTAAACAACGTGTTGTTAAGCAACACCGCCATTAAATAAATAATAACTTTAAAGGAAGAAAATCGCCTGTGACTGCAGAGCTACAAGAATGCTAAGCTAAGCTAGGCGAAGGTCAGGCTCAAGATAAACATGGCGTTCACGTTGGAAACATCAGTGTAAACCACAGGGCTTTAACACTCATAGCCAGGAGTTCATTACCGTTGTGTGGTCACCTTACCTCTGCTGACGAGGACAGCTCTAGTTAATAACCGGTTGAAAGTCATTTTGCCTGAAGAAGAGCGATCCTGCCACTCCGCGCTCGATTCAACTTCCTGGAAGGAGTGAGTAGATGATCGCCGAGTCGCTCGAACACTCCTGCGCATAGACATATATACATTACATACATTACATACATTACTTACATTACATACATTACATACATTACATACATTACTTACATTACATACATTACATACATTACTTACATTACATACATTACATACATGTATATATGTCTATGCTCTTGCAGTTTGTCATTTTAAACTCAACATATATTATTATATTTATTTATTTACTTAATTATTTAATTGTTGCTTTGCTTTTCTGCCGTGATGTCATACAAACATATATGTGAATATGTACAGTAACGTGTGTATGTATATTGTTTACGGTTACAAGCTATTGTTCCATTATTGATTTTCCTATTGTTGGAACTTTCACTGTATCCTGACAACAGTGCATGAGACAGATAATGTGTGAAATATCCAGGTTCCTCCAGAGGAATGTCTCAACTGGTCAAAACACTTTTACAGAATTCCAACCAAGCAAATTGTCTTGAACCATTTAAAGCATAAAAAGATATTTGATTCGAATAGAAGTAACTCAATTTATTGTTCAGGTAACTTGCATAAATTAAACTAATTGTACCAATTCCATTCAGTTCATTGAAGTTACATTCATACGCAGCATTTCTCCAAACTTATTTCAAATGTGTAAACAAAATGTATCTGAATAAAGTCACTTAAATGCATCTTCTTTACACAAAAAAGTTTAAATCCACTTAGTTTTCTTCCACTAAACAAATGATTACATTAGCTTCAAAACAGCTGATGCAAAAGACAATTTATAATTTATTGATGATCAAAATGGTGATGGCCAATTCCTTTTTAGTTTTTTTAATGGGACTAGCCTTTCTTTACACTTATTAAGAATGATATGAAGGCATACTTGAGCTTATGATGATTCATTTAAAAAATGGTTTAACCCAAAGCTATACAACTTTATAATGCTGACATTTTTGTTACGATGTAAAGTCTATTTCAAGAAAATGAGTCAATGGAACAAACTGGAATTATATTGCCAGAACTTAAAATACTGCACGCATTTTAGTGGACTCAAAACAAGTGAGTTGATTCAACAATTAATTCATTAATTTATGTTATAGAACTTATTTTTTAAGCTGTGTTGTGTACAGTATTTGAATTCATACACAATACACAAGGGATTCATTTAGTAGTTAAAGCAGGCTTTCTGTTCAGACTATTACCACTCAGTATCGGATCAGTGCTCTCCTGTGAGAAAAAATAGGGCCAACATCAGATTTCATACTCTGTGATGTGAAAAAGATGTACTTCTTTGCTCATTATGCACAGGCATCTAACAGAGAGATGGAGGAGATGTGAAGCCAGATGGAGGCCCAAACAAAGGAAATGGAGGATAAGCTGAGAGCCACAGCAAAAACCATGGTCCAGAACCAGAGAGAGCTCTGGACAAACGAGAGACAGCAGCTGCTGGAAGAAAAAAGGCCATGCAGAAGAAGCTGTCTGTGAATGAGAGTGAAAAGAAAAAGCTCAAGGCCAACCTCCAGAAGGCAAAAGAGACCAATGGAAGGAGAGAGCAAGAGATTAACTCCCTTCACCTCTACCTCTCTGCTCTGAGAGTACACCATGTTACATCAAAAGACACTTCAAATTTATCATCCTATTTAATAGAGTCAACTGTTAAATTCAAGTTTAATACTGTTAATACATTCCTAAAATGATGTAAAAAAAGTATTTGTTCTGTAATTTTACATGTATTTGTTTGTTTATTGACAGATATCTTGTATAATATATAAACAAAAACATTGAATACATTTTTTTAATCAATGTACATTCACAGATGGTGACTTTAATTACAGTTCTATAACGTTTAAAGTCCAAATTAAAATAAGAAAAATCAAATAATTACAGCACTCTTTGGTAAATTTAAACCTGATCATTTGTATTGCAGTGTTTGCCTGTATTTATAGTTTCGTTGATTTTACATGTGTAAATATCTTTAATCAAACATTAAAAAGCCAAGAAATTACCCAAGATTGATGTATTTTTATGAGTCAGTTATTTTCAGCCCCAGCTGCCAGAATATTACAGTTTTTCTACCTTTTTTAAAAACTTTTTTTTACAGTGTACAATGGCAGTGGCACATTTTCAACAGCCAAAGAAAAAGGTGACATGATGGTGGCTTGTGTCAGCTTGTTTGTCTTCCTGGTGCAGAGCAAACAGAATCTACAGTTCTCCACATGGGCTGCTCTGTTTACAGCACAGCCAGAGAGCCACACTGCCCTCCTCTGGATGAAGAGTTGTACTACAAACAAAAACAGTATGGAAACCTTAAATATTTTGGCAAAGGTAACTGCATTTGCAGCCCAGACAATGTCTGAGGTAAAACAAATATCCATGGTGGGCGCCAAATTAGAGCATAGTGAATCCATCAATGGTATGCTCCCCAGGAAGAAAATCCCATTCCTTATCATCTGACTAAAATACAAGGGGAACTCATTTGTGGTAAATAAATGCATACAAATGACAGAAAGCCACATCAGCTTTCACTGAGTGCTCCGGCCACTTCCTCCTCTGGTACCAGTTGAAGCAGCTTACTTGTTCTGAGTGATCTTAAATGTGTGCAGGATATTCAGGGCGCCCTGGTAGAGCAGGCACCCCGTGTAGCAGGGCTGAGTCCTTGCTGCAACGACCCTGGGTTTGAATCCAACCTGTGACCCTGCCGCAGTGTGCGGTACTTTAAGTAAGTTAAGTATTATAAAACTGTAAGCATTATAATGCTGTATAGGAATCATAAGTATGGATTCAAATAATTTTTAATGACCACCCCAACTGTAAAGATTTGATTTTAGTCACATAAAAAGCCCCACAGAAAATGAATTGTCTACCATTTTGATAATCAATTAATTATATATTGTTTTTATTGTACGTCAGCTGTTTTGACAGGTAATGTAATAATTTGTTTAAGTGAAAGAAAACTGAGTAAATTCAGTTATAAACTATAAAGAACATGGATTTAAGTAACTTTTATTCAGATACAATCTGTTTTTTTAAAATATTTAAAATAACTTTACCTTAACAATAAATACTTGAGTTATACTACTACTTCAATAAAATATCTTTCATATCTTTTCAAAATGGTTGAATCAGTTTAATTGTGCTCTCATTGCCCAGTATGCCCAGCTTTCAACACTTCATCAGTTGTTTAACACACTGCATGTTTACCTCAAAGATCTGTCTGAGAAAAACAGAAACAGAAAGAATTTAGTTGATTTAAAGACAAGTGCGGTATGTGTTATTAGTTGAAAGCTTTTTTTCATACAGTCTATTCTGTTTGTTCTAATTTTAGCATCAGTTACATAGCTAGCTTCCTGCCCGTAGGTTTGATACCCTACCACCACAGTCACAAGGGCCAGCGCCTGGCTCACCAAATGCACGCAGCAGACGACGCTGAAGTTGGCTTCCGATTCGCCAGCCTCCGATTCGGCACTTAAGGGGAAAGTTAAGGGGAAATGAACTTATTGTGCAGTGCGACTGTTTGTCCACTGATTGTCTGTTTTTTGTGACACTTCTTGATGTGAAAACGTTTTAGACATTTTAGGTAAGACATCAGCTTTGCCTGACACCTACGATTGTATCTGTGAAACTTTTATTTGTGAAAATGCTAAAGGGAGATTTCACCGTTTTTGTTTTACACCAAGACCTCATTAGACCAGGTCCACAAAACCACTGTACCTAGACCTCTCAAATCTGGACTGGATTGATGTACAGACCCTGAAGATTCATAAAAACACAGTCTCTAATTTGTGAAACCTTTATTCTATTTGTGAAAATGCAATAAAGACACATTTCACACTTTTTCAGCACATAGACCACTTTGGACAAGGTCTCGATCCAAAACCACTGCACCTAGACCTCTCAAATCTTTTTACATGGTGAAGTTGTTGAAAAGGCACAGAGTCAGTAAAAAAGTCAGCAATTTTCGTTCTTTTAAGTTTTTATGGCCTCACCTCTGTTTTTGTAACATTGTGTCAAGGTGCCTCTTTGTTTTCTGCTTCTCTGCTTTCCTTTGCAGGTTCCAGGTTGTGGGTCGTCATCTTAATATTTTTAAACTATGGACAATCGGGTAGGGTCAGTATCATGTCTGTAGGTAGGTAGTTGGTCAGGTGATGAGGAAAGGGAGGAACACAAAGAGGACAACTGGTGGCCGGGAGAACAAGAACAGGGTCTGAAATGATGGCAGATGTTAGTAAAGCCAACAAACTATTTTAATCAATCAGGTATTCATAATTGTGATAATTGCTGTAATTGTATTGTTCAAATGATAAATAATAGCACTAATAGCAAAAGTGATTCTAACACAGGCAACAATAAAGGCTATGGAAGAGGTCTGCAAACTGACGGTGACAGAAGCTGTGGCAAAAGTGGACCATGGCCAGATGGAGGAAAGGTAAGTGCAAATCATGACTTTTATAGGATGTTTCCCAATTGAGCAATCGATGAAGATGTGTTTAATGTTTCTCAAGAGATAAACATAACCTTTTTACTTTTTTACCGTTTTGTAGTGAGAAAGAAGACATTTTCATGTCCATTCAAAATGAGATGGAGAGACGGGGTTTGACATGAAAGAAAAGATGTTCAAAAAATGTTTGTCCCTTTATTTTCAATAAAGGTTTCACAAAGTGTTTTTATGAATCTTCAGGGTCTGTACATCAATCCAGTCCAGATTTGAGAGGTCTAGGTACAGTGGTTTTTGTGGACCTGGTCTAATGAGGTCTTGGTGTAAAACAAAAACGGTGAAATCTCCCCTTTAGCATTTTCACAAATAAAAGTTTCACAGATATAATCGTAGGTGTCAGGCAAAGCTGATGTCTTACCTAAAATGTCTAAAACGTTTTCACATCAAGAAGTGTCACAAAAAAACAGACAATCAGTGGACAAACAGTCGCACTGCACAATAAGTTCATTTCCCCTTAACTTTCCCCTTAAGTGCCGAATCGGAGGCTGGCGAATCGGAAGCCAACTTCAGCGTGGTGCGCCGCAGCGCTTATCTTTTCTTCTTTGTCAGAGAGGACATATCCTTCCAAACTCCATAAAGAAACAATCAGGCAGTATAACGTTTCAGGCTTATTGCTGGTACACAGAACAACAGTCCATGTGCCAGTCCTTGGTTCTACTCTTCTGCTACATTCAACGTGAGAGTGGCCCACCAAACAGCAGATGGATCCTCATATAACACTGTTTCTACTGCAGTGACAAAAGTTGAATTTTTACAGAACTAATAGCTGCTGGGTGCACTGTGTGAGTTATATCCCAAAAAACATGTCCACCAACAGGCAAAGATTTTTGAATGACATTTGGTGTCACTAATAACACGAGGAGAGGGAACACCTGTTCTAGGAAATGTATGGTAACGTTCTATTGTCTGAAATCATAGAAAGACTTTAGAACAGACTATAGCAGTACTATATTAAAAATATAGAAACAGTACAGCAATATTACATAAACACCTAAATGTAACTATAACTTCACTTTACGATCTCCATAGCCAACTCAATAGGATTCACTCATTTTCTATAGTGCGTGCCGAAAACCCCCCATAGAATTACTACAGTAATACTGATGTTGTCACTGTTTTTCTACAGTCATTCTTCAAGTTCTAATACAGGGTTTTTTGTAAAGGACGGCATAAACGGGCAACGGATGAAGCCAGATCAGTGGAAAGTGTAAAGGTTTGGTCTTTAAAGAGCCAATCCAACCCCTGAACGCATCACAAAGCCAGTCAGTGGAACATTTCTATTTGATTTTGTGAGAAACTTTCTAGACCAACACCAACAGCGCACATGACCCCGCTGCTCGTACTCTGCAGTCCACATATATTATTTTACTGTTGTATCATTCTGGAACATACCCGAGTAATTTGTCTTTGACGTCTCATTAAATAAGACACCGTGTCTCATGTTAAACGCCATTTAGTCACTGGGACATATTTGCCCTGCTGCCCGTGTTTGACACGCAGACTCAGAGAGCATCCTGACCCGGAGGAGAAGCAGGTCGGCCATTTTGCTCGGAAGGGGGCCTCGGCTTCAACACGTGAGAGAGAGGAGCCTGAAGAGACTGAAACAGTCCTGAATCTTTGACTCCAAGAGGATATTATTCATGTGTGAACCGACAGAGGCATAGGAAGCCAACACAATGCCCACAATCACTCTACCGCCGAAGGAGAATGCTCTCTTCAAGAGAATATTGGTAGGCTAAATGCCTGAGAAAACGTTAGCTTCCTAGCTAATGCTAGTTACCAAGTAGCCGTCAGTTCTAGCAGCCAGAGCTAGTAGCCAGAGCTAGTAGCCAGGGAGTTACAAGTGCATTAACCGAAATATTCAGTACACCGAACGCATTGCAGTTAGCATGTCTCTGTTGTGGTCTACGAGTTGTAACAATGCAGTGAAGGGAACGGCACCGCTGGCTAGCAAATAATCCTGTGGTGTCCTAGCTGTGCGTTGGCCTTGCAACACATCCAAAGTGTATCAATGACAACGCTGCCTGACACATGACAGCTACACACAACTTCCAGGTGGACAGTTGAGTTAGTTTTCTAGGAATTACACGCAGTTCGGAAACTTACTCTGCCGCACTGTCAGTAAAGTTGAGCAATATTTGGCTCGTATGTGCGCCCGAAATAGTTGTCGTTAGTTGGAGCAATTCAGTTCAGCACATACAGCAAGCGCGCTACCTGCCGGGTACTTGTCCAACCAAACGTCATTTGCTACTTTGGAAATTTAACGGTTAACTTACTGTAGCGTCTTTGCAACATGACGTAGACGGAAATCTCAAGGCGGTTACTAAATCATTTGAAGGCACATTTATTTCGGCATATCTCAAACCCGCTAAAACAGTTTAGGTGAAGTTATATGGAGTTTCAGCAATCGATTGTAGCTATTGTGTACAGGAAGTTCAAATACTAATGTATTACTAATGTATAGCACTAATATTAGCGGGAGTGTCTGTCCTTCTGTCAGTCAGGGACTTGAGTGTATGTATTGTAGTGGGGGGTGAGGGGGTCTGAGCTCCTGGTGTCTGCTCTGCCAGGCGCATCCATCTGCCCACTTGTCTGATTACATCTGATCAACAGCCCTCCGCCATCAGGGCCGTTAACTCAAGTGCTGTTTCTTCCATTTATCTTCAGCGAGACAATCTCATGCACAGCACTGTCCGGTGTATGTGATGCATTGTTCGGAGTGGGACTCGGCAGGAAGGACCAGTTATTTCTGCTGATCACTTGAACACACATGTTCTCTTTACAATGCTCTCTAAGGATTAGTGCAGGAGAGACTGGGAGGCCGTTGCCCTCAGATGCCTGATGTAAAATCTGTCTTTTGTTGCAGAGATGTTACGAGCACAAGCAGTACAGAAATGGACTGAAGTTCTGCAAACAGATCCTGAGCAACCCAAAGTTTGCTGAGCATGGAGGTAGGACACTACTACTACTACTGCTGCTACTTGACTCCCCTCAAATAAGTGGGAAAGTGGGAAATATCATGCTTCACTGTAGTTTCTGCTGTGTTAGTGAGTGTAAAGTGAGTGCATCCCTGTGTAATGTTTGTCTGTGTGTTAACTTAAATACAGCCACCCTTCCTTCTTGACAGTAACACTCACAGGTTTAGATAATGTTATTCTGTGGAACATACATGAGCACAATATTCTGTACCATTGTTCTACGGATGAAACACATTTATTCCATTTAAAAAAATAACAATATGGTTGAAATCAGAACTAGGATTTTATGTCAAGTAGGTTTTCACATACAAGGGATTTGTAACAATTAAACAAAGAAAAATATAAATAAAGATAAAAGAGAGATAGTAAAATGAGATGATATATACAAATATAAAAAGAGAAACAATATGTACAATATGACAGTTACTTAAATAAATGAATACTTTGAGACCACTCTGAGCTGTACAGGCATGTGCAAAGAATTGTCCAGGGAATGTACAAGTTAGCAGTGTAACACATAATGATATATATATAAGTAAAGATAAAACCCCAAGGGATGTAAATGTAACGCATAGGTTTAGGGTGGCTGGTGGGTTTAAGAGTTTATATATAATATCTTGTCTGCTGTATGATGAGTCAGTTTTCATACTACGGTATACAACAATATCGGTATATCGCTGCAGCTCGTATATTATAATAATAGTAATAATAATATATGCTGTTGACTTAGGCTCGACTCACAAATTTGATGACTTTAGAAAGGACTTCCCTATATCAAACAAATGACAAAAACTTGATACCTAAAAGTTGTTATTTAAAAAGTGTGACACAAATTAATTGTTTTCTCTTCATTTCCTGAATCAACCAACATGGACATTATTCATTCCCATCATGTCCACACTTCATTTCCCAGATCAACTTTGTTTGAACCTATTTGACAGTATCTAATCAAGTTGCAGGAGAGAACCATGAACATACAAACATAACATTACTGAGCGCCAGAAAAATTGATACTGATAACTTTGATATATTCTGTTGTTAAAATGGCATTATATTTGGTGAAGAACGCATTATGACTTGTTTAGGACTCAAGAATGGCTGGATGCCACCTGTGCTGTTTGCCATTGCAGTTATCCTCACGATGCAGCGGTATCATGCTGTATTTATTCCTAATGCTGCCTCATACTTTACCACTCACACCTGTTCCATTCAGCTAGCAAGCAACTTATTAAATGCACACAAGCGAACTGCAGTGTCATTCCAATGTGAATAAACTGGGTTGGTAAACAGTCATTGTCATTCTTAACAACTTGTGTCCCTGAATGTCTCACCCCTCTCCTCCCCACCCCTGCTTTGTCCTCCAGAGACGCTGGCTATGAAGGGTTTAACCCTCAACTGTCTGGGCAAGAAAGAGGAGGCCTATGAGCTGGTGAGACGAGGCCTACGCAACGACCTCAAGAGCCATGTCTGTATCCTTCCGCCAGAGCTTCAGGGCAGCCGGATGTCATCTCTCTCACAGCAGTGTAACACAGCTGCTGAACTCAG